TCACAGGATAGGACTGTTTTTCTAGAGCCGGGAATCTTTAGGGAAGGACGGCCCTACCACAAGAACCCCCCGCGCGATGGGCGGTGGGGGGGGAATTCTGGGAGTTGAAGTCCACACATCTTAAAGTTGCCAAGGTTGAGAAACAATGATGTAGAGAATAAGGGAGGTGACCTTGATGGAAATATGCAAGAACCATTATCCAAGCAAAGGGGACTGAAATGTTTTTTAAGCCCTGAGAAAGGAGATACTCTTTGGAAGTGGCTCAAAGGCCTTCTTGATTATGGGTGGAGGGAGGAATACCATAATCAGGCTTGCAAGATTCTGTTATTATAGAATCTTATCTCAATAAAGTGTACTTCTGGTCTTCCTGTAGAGTTGACTTCCTGGTCTGATCTACCTAGTGGGGCTGGCACACAGCTGATCAGAAGCTAATAATGCCAGTGTGTAAAGTTATAGCGCGTAAAACGCTAGGACAAGATGAAGTGTGAGAAATCGAAAAGGTTCCGCTGTCCAACCGTACGATAACATGACGATGAGATCCCCATGGTGCTGAAGAGGTTTTGTGTGAAGAACTGAAAAACAGCAGCTTCTCTATCCAGGTTGATGAGTCGACCAATTCACAAATGAATGTCATGCTGTAGCATTTGTAGGATTGATAAATGACGGTGAAATTCAGGGAAGTTTTTTCTGCTGCAAAAAGCAAGATCCGTTTAATGTTTTGTTTTCGTGCCTGGAAATAAAAGGCCTGTTTTGGAGGAACTGTGTTGGTATCTGTACTGATGATGCCCCATCAGGGTTTGGCTCCATGAGAGGTTTTCCACTCTTGTAAAAAAAAAATAAAAATCCTGAAGTTCTCACAATACACTGCTTTCTTCACAGAGAGGTGCTAGTGTCAAAACTCTAGGAGAGGAAGTGGGGAAAAAAAAAATCTTCTGGACGATGCTACAAAAACAGTTAACTTTATTAAAGAAAGGCCAGTTTGCTTGAGAACGTTTTAAAAAAATACGGTGTGAAAACCTGGTGTAAGAGATGAAGATGCCCCAAGAAATGGGGGGGGGGGGGTTCTGGAGAAATTTAGTACTAATAAAAAAAATTCAGACCTAGCCCAACAGATGATGCAATTTAGTTAAAGCAGCACGGAATAGATAAGTAAGCAGTTCCTCTGCTTATGCGGGCGCCAAGTGTATTTTGGGCACATCGCACTGTGATACGGCTGCTATTGACAAACTTTATAGTGGGTTGCTATGGAAATACCACTATTATGATAAACATAGGCAAAGATAAACTTTGGGGGGATTTTCCACTTGCTTAGAAATGTCCAAGTGTGGATTAGCCAATGCAACTGCCCCTTTGACGTGCCTTGTGTGAAATTAACTACATAAACTTGCTTGTAAGTGTATTCGGGGCCTTTCACCTGGGAAGAGGTCGTTGCGTGTGTGATTTTTAATACAGTTTTGGAGACCTGAAATCCATGTCCTGATGATGTAGAGCAATGTTTCTCAACCTTGGCACCCTTAAGATGGGTGGACTTTAACTCCCACGATTTCCCCCCCCCCCTAAGAGT